TCCTTGGTGGCCTGGCGCTGGGCGTCGTTGAAGTAGGCGGGGACGGTGATGACGGCGTTGGTGACCTTCTCGCCGAGGTAGTCTTCCGCGACCTTCTTGAGCTCGCCCAGGATCATGGCGCTGATCTCGGGGGCGGTGAACTCTTTGCCGCGGACGGAGACCTTGACGAGGTCTTCGGGGCCGCCGGTGATGGTGTAGGGGACCTGCTTCTCTTCGGACATGACCTCCTTGTGGCGGCGGCCCATGAAGCGTTTGATGGAGTAGATGGTGTTGGTGGGGTTGGTGACCTGCTGGTGCTTGGCGGGCTGGCCGATGAGGCGGTCGCCCTTGTCGTTGAAGCCGACGACGGAGGGGGTGGTGCGGTTGCCCTGGGAGTTGATGAGGACTTTGGGCGAACCGCCCTCCATGAGGGCGACGACGGAGTTGGTCGTGCCGAGGTCGATGCCGATGGTCTTGGACATGGGGTCCCCTTTCGTTGGATCTGAGCCCTGTGCTCGCTCGCGGGCTCGTGTCTTGCTCTGGAAGGCCCCGTTGGGGCGGTGTGTCTGTTCGATGGACGCGGGCGCGTGCCCGGCGTCGGGGGGAGAGGGTGCAAGGGGGGTGCCAAGGGACCCGGGCTGGTTTTTGGCTTGGAATCGGCTCTTGGGGGGCAGGAACGGGCTTTGGTGTCTGCCGCGGGGGGGTGGTGCTGCCGATGTGGCAGGGTTGGGTTTCGAACGAAAAAGCCCGCCCCCACCCCGGGGACGGGCTCGTCGTGACGGGATCTGGTTGTTCGCTCAGCGTCGGCGGCGCGTTGTGGCGAGGCCGGCGAGGGCGAGGAGGGTGGCGGCGCCGGGGGTCGGGGCGGCGACGAGGCCGCCCAGGGAGATGGACTCGCCGGCGTCGAACTCGAAGAAGGTGCTGACGTTGAGGACGGAGGCGAGGTCGGTGTCGCCGAAGGCGTTGAAGTCGGCGAAGAGGATGTCGTAGATGCCGGGCTGGTCGATGGTGATGAAGTTCGAATCGAGGAAGCCTCCGCCGCCGCCGACGGTGTTGGTGGCGATGCCGGCGTTGAAGTCGACGGCACCGGTGACGCTCAGGACTTCGAGTCGGAGGCGGTCGGCGCCGGAGAGGTCGACGCGGGGGGTGTCGTCGGTGGGGAGGGGGAAGACGACTTCGCCGTCGTCGAAAGAGCGGTAGATGATGAAGACGGAGCCGACGGGGTCGGTGATCACGCCGTTTTCGACGCCCCGGGGCGGGATGGTGGTGCCGATGTCGCCGCGGCCCTGGCCGAAGTTGGCGGACATGCCGCCGCCGGAGCCGGCGGGCGGCGAGGCGTCGACGGAGACTTCGCGTTCGCCGCCCATGAGCCCCTCGCCGGAGGCGGAGCCGTCGACGATGAAGTTGCTCCGAGCGGGTTCGCCGCCATCTCCTTCGGCGACTTCGAGGAACTGCGGGGTGGTGTAGTCGTCGATGACGACGTTCTGCGCGGACGCGGCGCTCGCGGCGCCGATGACGAGCGCACCGATGGACATGCTGTGCTTGATCATGATCTGATTGCTCTCTCTTCCGTTTTCTCGAACCGGCGCGGCCTGCCGTGTGTGCTTCGGCGGGCGGGCGCTTTGACTCCCAGGCGTTGCGATGCGATTCGCTCCGGCGTTGTGGCACGGCCGGTGCGAGACGGGGAACGCCACGTGTGATGCAAGGTCACGCTGTGCTCGATTCGTGACACTTCCATCCCCAGTATCTCTGGGATATGCGGAAAAATGCAAGAAAAAACCCGCCCCCGGGGTGGGGACGGGCTTGAAGAGCTTGATCAGCCGGCCTGTGGTTCAGGCCTGTTGATTTCAGCGGCGACGGCGGGTCGCGGCGAGGCCGCCCAAGAGGGCGAGGCCGGCGGCGCCGGGCGTCGGGATGATGAAGACGTTGTCGCGCAGGTTGGTGAGCGAGGTGTTGTCTTCGATGATGTCGGAGAGTTTGCGGCCTTCGAGGTCGCTGACATCCAGACCGATGAGGCCGAGGGCGGCCGCGAGGTCGGCGTCGTTGAGGTAGTAGAAGCGGTCGCCGTCGCGGAGCGCGGCGAACTGCTGGACGAGTCCGGCCATCATGAGCTCACCGACGGAGGAGTCCATGAGGTGGTCTTCGGCGAGGGCGCCGACCCAGGCGTCGACGAGGTGGACGTTGTCCACGCCCATGGTCTGGCCGTAGGCGTCGCGGAGCTTCTGGGCGACGGCGGTGTCGGAGGTGATGTCGTCGAAGGAGGTGGCCTGCGAGAGTCCGTAGGCGTCGCGGAGTTCGTTGTAGGTTCCGATGCCGTGGTCGCGTCCGCGCTGGATGTTGATGGACGCGAGGTCGAGGCCCATGCCGGGTCCGAAGAGGAAGTTGCGGACGTCATCGATGATCATGGCGTCGGTTTCCTGCTGGACCTGCTCGGAAAGTCCCTTGAGGATGCCATCGATGCCGGCTTCCTGGACGGCGGCGGGGTTGAAGAAGGAGTTCTGGAGGGAGAGGTTGCCCTCGGCGATGACGTTGCCGTTGTTGTCGAGGCGCTGGAGCGTGGAGGAGAGCATCGTGTGACCGATGCGGTAGAGGGCGGTGGAGAACTCGGTCGCGATGGTGGCGTCGACGTTCGAGTCGTAGCCGGCGTAGGCGGGCATGGCGCTGGTGCCGAGGAGGGCGGGGAGGAATTCGTTGTAGGTGATGGCCTGGGCCTCGGCGCCGACGATTTTGCGTGCGGCCTGGTAGACGGCCTCGTCGTTCATGCCGGGGTTGGCGGTGGAGATGGCGTCGGCGATGCGGTTGTGCTCGCGGACGAAGAGTGTGTGCATGGAGGTGAGGCCGACCTGCTCGTTGGCGCGGATGTCGCCGGCGACGTACATGGTGGCCGGGTCGACGGGGACGGGGCCGTTGTCGTTGTCGAGTCCGGTGGTGTTGAAGGGGAGCATGTCGCCGGTGGCGTGCGCGGAGGTGCGGAGGCGTCCGCCGCTCATGGTGCGGAGGGCGTCGGCGCGGGCCTGCGAGGATCCGTAGACGTTGGAGGCGTCGACGTACGCCGTGATCTGGTTGGCGTGCTGGAGGGGGTTCATCGGGTCGGTGCCGGTGCCGGGCATGGACTCGGACCGGGTGAAGGGGATGATGCCGCCGGGGGTGAAGGTGGGGTCGTCGAGGGGGACCGAGATGTTGGCGGGGGAGCCGCTCACGTGGGTGATGTCGATGTCGTGATCGAGGAACTGCCCCCACTGCCAGACGAAGTCGGTGAGGCCCCGGGCGTTCTGGACGGAGCCGGCCTGTGCGGCGACGGTGTTGGAGATCGCGCGGGGGTTGGGCCGGTCGGTGACCATCGCGGAGATCCCGTCGGCGTAGTGGACGGGGCCGACGCGGAGGAGCTGCGTCCCGGCGGAGCCCCAGCCGCCGTTGGTGAGGTTGTTGCCGGTGCCGTCGTACGAACGGTCTTCGGCGCCGACGGTGGCGGTGAGGCTGAGGGCGAGTCCCGCAGCGACCACGACAACACCGCAGCGCATGCGCTGGTTCATCACATTGCGAAGCATGTCAAAGTCCTTCTCTCAAGTTGGCTGGGTGGCAGCGGACGCATTCCCCTACGCCGCTGTCACAGACGCGATCTTCCCTCTCGTCGCCGCGGTGGATAACCCTGTGCGTTGACGAAACGTGGACCGCACGAAATTCCCATACGAACGAACTCGTGTGACGGGTCCGAGATTAAATAGACCCCAAGGTGGGCGAGGACACAAGCGGCTTTCGAAAAAATGCCCGTGTATATTCCTGCACGCGTGGCTCGATGGCGGGGTCGGCGGGCTGAATTCATGGCTCGGGGTGTGCGATGGGGGCTGGACGCTGGTACAAGAGCGGCTCATGGTCCGAAAAAAGACCTCCGTAAATCCCAGAAAGGCTGTGCGATGACGCAATTCGATGACCAGTTTTCCAACGGCGGCTACGAGGGGTACGGTGAGCCGAGGCAATCGAACCCGCTGGGTGTGGTGGGCTTTGTGCTTTCGCTGCTGTGCATCACGAGCCCGATCGGTCTGCTGCTGTCGATGATCGCGCTGCTGAAGGCCCCGCGCGGGTTCGCGATCGCGGGGACGATCATCGGGCTGCTGTTCACGTCGGTCATCGGGATCGTCGCGTTCTTCGCGGTGGTGTACGGCTCGTTCGTGGTGGATTCCACGAAGCTGACGCTGGACCTGGAGCGTCTGCGGATCGAGGCTCGTGAATACGTCGATCAGAATCAGGCCGTGCCGGCGTCGCTGGACGAACTGGGCTGGGACGACACGACCGACCCGTGGGGCCACGAGTACGTCTTTTCGATGGACTCGGAGACGAACGTGTGGGAGCTGCGGTCCGTGGGCCCGGACGGTGTCGCGGACACCGGGGACGATTTCGCGTTCGATTCGACGATGGAGCAGTCGGACGTGATGGAGCTCATCAAGGATTGGGCGGACGCGAACGCGAAGGACGTCTACGGGTTCAACCCCTGAGACCATCGCCAGAGAAAAAACCGAACAAAGACCGAAGTCCCGCTTGACTTCGTCGAGCAACCCGTACATACTCCGAGCGAACAAAGACCGTTCATTTGGCACTTCACGCCAGAAGAAAGGGATTCGCCATGCTCGGGATCACGCAGATCGTCAGGCTTCTCGACCAGGACCGGCACGCCCAGGTGATCGACGGGTGCCTTCGGGCGTCGGGCCCGATGCCGCTGTGCCTTCGGCTTCGGTTTGAATCGTCGGATTCGTGCGAGGCCGGGGCGCTGGCGCTCGCGTTGAAGCGGGTGACGGAGCTGAGTTATCGGACGACGGCGCCGATCGAGCGTCTTGCTGAGGCGGTCGTGCTGGGCCAGGGCGAGGACGGGTCGTTCTCGAAGTCGTCGGACGCGGCGGTGACGCTGGCGTCGTTGGCCGGCCTCGGGGCGTTCCTGTCGCTCGCGGAGCGGTCGATGGCGTTGCGGGCGCCGGGGCCGGTGCTCGTGCGTCTTGTGGAACGGGCGCGGGATGCGTTTGAGCGCGGCGTGGGGCACATCCGCCTTCTGGCGGCGCTTTCCGACGACGGGCTTGTCTCCGACGAGACGACGACCGCGTATGCCCTGCTGCTGTGCGCGCGGGATCCGGGGCTCCGGGAGGCGATCGATCCGGGGTGGCTCCTTCGGGCGCTGCGGGATTGCGGCGGTCATCACCACCGCCAGGCGGGGCCGATGCTTCGTCACGCCGAGCGTCTTCTGGAGATTGTTGATCGTTCTCAGGCGCCGAACGCGGCGTAGAGAAAGAGGGCAGTTCGACAGGGACGTCGGCCGGTCTCGCGCATCTGATCCTTTTTTGAGGAAGATGAGGTCGAACCCATGAGCGAGCATCGACGGTCGCGTCGGGGGCACATCCTGCGGATTTTGCGGCTGCGTCGGCTGTTCATGGAGCGGAAGAAGCAGAAGGCCCGCTTTGGTCGTGGGGCGTCGGAATACGTGGAAATCAGGCGTATTTCGCACAAGGCGTCGAGCCGCGCGTCGAGTGTGCATCGCTAAGATGGCCTCATGACCACGACGACCGCACATACCGACGTTCTCGACCGCCTGAACCTCTTTGACGACCCGCGGGTCTTCCGTCCGGGCGAAGCGCCGGCGGGGGCCGTGGAGACCGTGAACCCTGCGACGGGCGAGGTGCTCGCGGCGGTGTCCTTGCACTCGCTCGACGATTACAACGCGATGGTGGAGCGGAGCGTGGAGGCGCAGAAGCAGTGGCGTCGTGTTCCGGCGCCGTTGCGGGGGGAGATTGTGCGCCGGATCGGTCTGGCGATGCGGGAGCAGAAGGACGCGCTGGGCTCGCTCGTGACGCTCGAGATGGGCAAGATCAAGCCGGAGGGCGACGGCGAGGTGCAGGAGTGCATCGACATCGCGGACTTTGCGGTGGGGCTTTCGCGTCAGTGCTACGGGCTGACGATGCCGTCGGAGCGTCCGAGCCACCGGATGATGGAGCAGTGGCACCCGCTGGGGACGGTGGGTGTGATCACGGCGTTCAACTTCCCGATCGCGGTGTGGGCGTGGAACGCGATGGTGGCTGCGGTGTGCGGCGACACGGTTTTGTGGAAGCCGAGCCTGGTGACGCCGCTGGTGGCGGTCGCGGCGACGAACCTGACGAATGAGGTGCTGCGCGAGCAGGACATCTTTGAGCCGACGGGCGGGGTGACGGTGGAGGATCTGTTCCCGCTCGTGCTGGGGACGGATTCGGAGGTGGGCGAGGCGATGACGGCGGACCGGCGTCTGCCGCTGATCTCGGCGACGGGCTCGTGCCGGATGGGGCGGCACGTGAGCCAGCGTGTGGCGGGTCGTCTTGGTCGTTGCCTGCTGGAGCTTGGCGGGAACAACGCGATGGTGATCATGCCGGACGCTGACCTGGAGCTGGCGATGCGTGCGGCGCTGTTCGGGGCGGTTGGCACGGCGGGTCAGCGGTGCACGTCGACGCGTCGGCTGCTGTGCGTGGGGGGGACGGCGGACGATCTGGCGAGCCGCCTGACGAAGGCGTACGGGACGGTGAGCATCGGGAACCCGCTGGACAGCGGCACGCTGATGGGCCCGCTGATCAACGAGCAGTCGGTGGCGGCGATGCGTTCGGCGATCGAGAAGGCGGTGAGTGAGGGGTGCGAGGTGCTGACGGGCGGTCTCGAGGGGATCGAGCGGTTCGCGTCGGATCCGGGGCACTTCGTGGAGCCGACGATCGTGCGGGTTCCGAAGGGGAAGGTCCCTTCGATCACGCAGGAGGAGACGTTCGCGCCGATCCTGTACATCTTCGACGTGGAGAGCTACGACGAGGCGATGGCGCTGCACAACGGCGTGGACCAGGGCCTGTCGTCCGCGATCTTCACGTCGGACGTGCGGAACGCGGAGCGGTTCTACTCGCCGGACGGGTCGGACTGCGGGATCGCGAACGTGAACATCGGGACGTCCGGGGCGGAGATCGGCGGGGCGTTCGGCGGCGAGAAGGACACGGGCGGGGGTCGGGAGTCCGGGTCGGACGCGTGGAAGGCGTACATGCGCCGGCAGACGTGCACGATCAACTACGGGACGGAGCTTCCGCTGGCGCAGGGGATCCGGTTCGGCTGATCCGGATGTTTGGTCTTTGAACGGAATTCGGACGAATCGCTCTGAGGGCCGAAATCGGGATTCTGGCTGATCACGAGGGTATTTTGGACGATTGCCTAGATTGATTGCCTCCTGCAAGGCGAGATCCGGAATAATCAATGCCGGGAGTTCGTCTCCCCTTGTGCGGCGGCGGTGCATCCGCACCCCGTTCGCGCCTGAAGAATGAAGAGAACCCGCGTCGCGCGTGCCCGCGCGACGCTCACACAAGAGGAGTGTTCAACGATGAAACGCAGGTTTGGAATGACGACCCTTGGCGCCGCTGCTGTTGTTGCCGGCCTGGCCGCGGTTGCGACCTTCGGCTACTCCGCGGCGACCGGGACGTGCGTGCTGACCGGCGCGTGCGCGACGGCGTGCGACGGGAAGACCGAGACGCAGGCTCAGACCGTGACGGTCTCGAACGAGAAGGCCGGCGAGGCGAAGTCCTGCTGCCCGCTCGGCGCGACGCAGGCCCAGACGCAGACCGTGGCCAACGAGACGGCTTCGGAGTGCTCGAGCGCCAAGACGGCGTGCTCGTCCGCCACGACGCAGACGGTCGCGGCGAAGAGCGACTGCGCTTCGTCCTGCGATTCGGCGAAGGCCGCGACGACCCTCGTTTCGAACGACGCCTCTGAGTGCACCAAGACCTGCGACGGCGCGTCCGTCCAGACGGTGGCCGCGAAGAGCGACTGCTCGATGAGCTGCGGCGACGCGGCGTCGACGGTTGCCTCTGGCGGTTGCTCGGCTCCCGAGTCCGCATCGTACGTTGTGTACGGCTCTGGGACGCCCTTCGTGATGCCGGCGTCGTTCAGCGCCGAGTGCTCGAAGAGCTGCGACGGCGCGGTGCAGAAGGTTTCGAACGCGAAGAGCGACTGCGCTACGGCGTGCTCCTCCGCGACCACGCAGACCGTTGCGACCAAGAGCGAGTGCACCAAGACCTGTGACGGCGCTGCCGCCACCACGGTGAACACCGCCAACAAGGCTTCCGATTGCTCGAAGTCCTGCGACGGCGCGACCACGCAGACCGTGGCCACCAAGAGCGAGTGCACCAAGACCTGTGACGGCGCTGCCGCCACCACAGTGAACGCTGCGAACAAGGCCTCTGACTGCTCGAAGTCCTGCGACGGCGCGACCACGCAGACCGTGGCCACCAAGAGCGAGTGCACCAAGACCTGTGACGGTGCTGCCGCCACGACGGTGAACGCCGCGAACAAGACTTCTGACTGCTCCGCCAAGACGAGCTGCTCTTCTGCGACGACCCAGACGGTCTCGACGAAGAGCGAGTGCACGATGACGTGCGACGGTGCGAAGGCGACCACGGTCAACGCGGCGAACACTTCCGAGTGCACCGCCAAGGCGGCCTGCTCCACGACGACGACGGTCTCGACGAAGACCGAGTGCACCAAGACTTGCGACGGTGCCGCCGCGACGACGGTGAACGCTGCGAACAAGGCTTCTGATTGCACCAAGAGCTGCGATGGCGCCGCCACGCAGACCGTTGCGACCAAGAGCGATTGCACGATGACGTGCGACGGCGCGAAGGCGACCACGGTCAACGCGTCGAACACCGCTTCTGAGTGCACCAAGACCTGCGACGGCTCTGCCGTCCAGACGGTTGCCGCGAAGAGCGACTGCGCTTCTTCGTGCTCCTCCGCGACGGCGACGACGGTTGCGGCTTCGGCCGGATCCTGCTCGACGTCCAAGGCGAGCTGCTCCTCGGCCCCCACGGCGAGCTACGTGGTGTACGGCTCGGGCACTCCGTTCGTGATGCCGGCGTCGTTCGAGGCGTCCTGCGCGGCGAGCTGCTCCGAGAAGGCGGCGTGCGAGTCCGGCGCGACGGTGAAGACCGTGGCGACCGAGGCGTGCGCGAGCAGCTGCTCCGAGAGCAAGAAGGACGTGAAGGCGAACACCGTGGCGACCAAGGGCGCCAACGGGGCGACCATCGTGATGGCCGCGACCGAGGCCGCCGCGTCGCTCAAGGAGTGCTCCGCTGAGGACTGCTCCGGCAAGGAAGAGTGCTCGGCGGACAAGTGCTGCCAGGGCAAGCCCGCGAGCGAGTGCTGCAAGGGCGACACCAACTGAGCGATTGCTCTTCTGATTGATTGAACACCTCGGCGCCCCGCTCATCCGTGAGCGGGGCGTTTTTTGTTGGATCGCTCGTCCGTGTGGATCGCGTCTCGCCCGTTGCGGTAGAGTCTTGCGGACCGCACCCCTGAAGGAGTTTTCGAACATGCACCGCTCGACGATCCGACGATTCGCTCTGCTCGCCTGCCTCTCGACGCTCGGCGTGGCGTGCACGTCCGGCTCCGGTGTCGGGGAGGCTCCCCGGGACTCGTTCTGGCTGCCTTCGGCGAAAGAAGCGTTCGTGACGATCGT